CTCTCGTAGGCCTGGAGAAAGGCGATAGGTAATCCAGGAAAGGAAGAGAAGAGAAAGATGTGGAAAGAGTCTATAGAATTGGTTCTCAACGTGGCTGCATATTAGAATCACCTGGGGAGCTTAAGAAATTACTGATGCCCACATTCACTGTGAAAGATTTTGCTGTAATAGAGATAGAGGTGGTGCGTGTGTGTGTGTGTGTGTGNTTTTTTTATCACACCTCGTATATTCTAAGATTTTACTAAATGACACAATGGCCTATTTCCCAATAGTCCAAATTAGGGAGAATTTATTGGTTTTAAAACTCCACACACTGGTGTTTAAGATTATGCTTACAACTTCGTATTACTTAGCAGAAGTTCCACCTTTAATTACTGACCCTCAGTGTTTCTTATTAGTTCAGCTTCATGAAGCAGACTTCTGTTTCTGCTTCTGCTTCATCTTCTGGCATTTTATAGAATAGGCAGTTTCCCTCTGGTCTTCTTTCATCTTTCCTGTATTTTTCTAGTATGTTCAGCAGAACAAGCTTCATTACATATTAAGGTGTGACCTGCTTTTATCAAATGGTATCTGGCTTCCGACATCTTCTAAAATAGTAAATATTGATCCAATTCTTTCCCCACAAGCCCACACTGAACCCACTGTGCCCAGGGGCCCATTAGGTTTTGAAGCACAACGAAGCTGTGTTGTGGTTAATTCCCAATTAATTTTATTTGCTCTTATATATTTGAAGCTTCAGCCTTTAACTCTCACTAGGAAAATTACCAGCAGATGGAAATGCATATAAAATGACATGCAAAGCAATGCAAATTAATACAAAACATACACCTCTAAATTGCTTAGGAAAAGTCTGTATGCCTTGACATTGATATCTGTTTGGCTTCTTTGCACTCTGGTGAGCACTCACCGTATCTGTTTATCACAGTTAACTGCATATACATATAGCATCCAGCACCTGACACTTGTTGACATGCTCAGTGGAAGATGCCTCTGCCTGTGAGTCAGGCGAATGCGACCCTGGCCTTAACTTTGGCACTGTTTGGCTCTACAGCCTTGGGCAGGGTCTCATAATTCTCTGAGTCTCAGATTCTACATCTGGAAACGATGGAAATGACATCGTTATAATAAAACCACCAGCATTACGGCTTACTGAGCACCCACTATGTGCCAGGCGCAATGTACACATTGTACATATATGATGCACATACACACACTGCACAGACATCATGCACACATGCCCACCTTGTGCATGCATCATGCATACATGCATAAATCATGCAGACACCTCACATGCATGATGCATACATGCAATCTTCACAACAGCCCAGGGGAAGGCACCATAGACCATGTACCCCTTCAGTGTGGTGCCATTTCAGAGACCAGGAAACTAAGGCAGAAAGGTCAGGAAACTTGGGTCAGGTCATAAGCTAGGGAGTAGCAGGGCCAGAACCAGGGCCTCCGCAGTCTCACTGCAGGGGCCACTCTTAGCCACACTGCAGCTCTACTGTGTGATTTCTATCTATGTTTCTCCAAATCATTAAATTTGCACAATCTATGAAGTAAAACTTCAAATTTCACCATTATACGTACTTCAAAATATTGTTTCAGTAAGATGTTGGTGGTTTATATTTATGAGTTTGATATGAAAATACTAGCAGAATCAGGCTGTTTTTTACCTAATACTCCAAGAGAGGGAGGGGCGTTCAGATATCCTGTATGTTTGACGTCTCCTTCCCACTCACTCCATCCTATTCACATAACAGTGTGTGTGAGGCTCTCTCATCTCAAGAAAGCCAGCTCTCTGACCCACTTCTTACCTGAGGAGCAGCTTCCAGGCAGGTAAGTGTGATGGCCCCACAGTGCACGCACACGCACCCCTGCACCAGGCGGGGTGCTCACTCCCACTACAGCTTCAGTGGAGATCTAGCATAGCCCTGGTCTTCCTCCCACCTCTCCTCATGAAGACGGAGGCTCTTTTTCAGGTCCACACCACTTCCCCAACCCACCCAAAGCTAAAAGAACACCCTGATACAGATGACCCTTCTTTGGAGGGTCACCTGGGGCCTGCTCTATCCAGCCACTTATTAAGTATTTCCAC